AAGCCCCAAAGCCCCAAAGCCCCAAAACCCCAAAAGCCCCAAAGCCCCCAAAGCCCCAAAACCCCAAAACCCCAAAGCCCCAAACCCCAAAGACCCTACCTACTATATCTATTATATATTTTTCTAACTAGATTATATATAGAAACTAGTCTCGTTTCCTTACTATATTAAGAGTATAATACCTAGGGAAAAGATATACTTCTAATATATTAATATAAATATAAAGGACTAGATTAAAATAGGAAGAGCTAGGTCTATCTTCTAAGGATTAGTTTTACTAGATAATAAAGACTATAGAAACTATACTATAATTTTACCTAGTATATAGCACTATCTTACTACTTAGTAGACTAATCTTTAGTAGTAGGCTACTATAGACCCTATTAGTAAAAAGGTTACTAATAGATTTATTTATTAGATTAATCTCTTAATATAGATAGTAGTAGATATTAAGAAGTACTAGATAGACTAGGTTAATTAAGTCTACTAAGTAGGGGATATATAACTATCCTTACCTACTCTTCTATATAGATTAATAGGGCTAATAACTATATAGAGATAGACTATTTTACTATAGTTTATATAAATCTAGGATAATTATTTAATATTAGATACTCCTAAATCTAGTTCCTAAGAAGACTTATCTATTACCTATAGGGAGCTAATAAATACTAAGAGGATACCCTCTAGTCTTACTAGCTAGTAGTATAGCTATATTCCCTTCCTTTTCCTAGCTACTATTTACTTCTATACTTAGTCTACTATCTTATAAGGATTAATAGTATAGACTAAGTAGAGTACTCTAGTAGTAATCTTAGAACTTAATATACTATTTAGAGAAAATAAAGTAGCTGCTATAATATATATCTAGGATTAGAGGGTAAGGGTATAGTAGGAATATATAAGGTTATTTAATATAATATAAGAGATAGAAGAGAAGGTTTTTAGGATAAATTCTTTCTTTCGGAGATATTATCTAGGTCTTCTACCTAAAGCAGGCGGCTATAATAATAATATAGATACTAAGTTTAAGGTTATTAATAAAGCGATATATTAACTAAGGGATAGTCAATTTCTTAGGAGGGGTAGTATATAGTAGGGAAAGTCGGGATACCTAGTTTAGTAGCCTTATCCCTTAGGTAGAGAAAACGAAAGCCTAGTTATTAAGTAGAGTCTTAGGGAGCAGATAGTCTAGAAGGAGTATTACCCCTAAAATAAAAAACGAGTTACGAGATATTTATATACTAGGAGATTATATACTATGGTATAGTCTATATGATCCCTATACTTACTAGCTGATCGTCCTAGATGGTTAGTATTATTATATCGTCCTCGTCTTGCCTATATGGCCAGGCTGCCCATCGTGCATTTCCCTCTTCAGTACCTATAATATACTTTATAGTAAGGGTATAAACTTATAATCTTAATATTAGATATTTAACTCTATACTTTACTACCTATAAAAGTTTTAAAATAATTAAGGCTAGGCTATAGTCTATACCTAGGGTAGATAATTCTTAGCTAACTATTCTACAGCCGCCCTATACTATATTATTATATTTTAGCTATTACTCTTTATTTCCTAATTATATATACTCCTACTAGGCTCTAGTTCTAGAAATTAGTAGGGACATTTATAATAGAGTTATATTAAAGTATATAAAATTAAAAATAAAATTAAGTAGGAATTATATATATATATACTCGGTACTAAGAGAAAGATTTAAAATGGTACCGGGCAAAGTAGATGCGCGCGGGAACCAACCATATCTACCAAATACCCGTATATCACCGTATATAAACTTGGTTGAGCCCTGAACGGCCCTCCCCCATAGGATAAGAAGGGTGCTTGCCATCTTGTGATCCCATGTGGTGGGGCACCTATATATATATACCACTGCAGTGAAGTCAGTTCCCATGAACTGACTTTGCTATGACCTTTTGGTCTAATGGGTAACTGTGCGGAGCAGTGGCCGTCGGATCTCATAAAGTCAGTTCATAACCGGGTCTTAGAGGGTTGTGGTTCGATTCCGGCGCGTGCGGAATTTATCCACCTATTATTATAATCATGCCTTTGGATTGATTATATAATAGCCTCTAATACTCAACCCGGACAAGGCCTACATTAAGCTGCTTCGAGTTCTGCCTCGCTCTTACGTGGGTCCCTTGGAGGGCGATATATATATACACGTGGCCTCTCTTACTAAGAAACCGGAGATAGCGATCTTCTGGCTTGGTTGACCGATTCCGGCCCGAGGATTGATAAGCACATTAACCTTAAAAATCGGGCAAAAATCCCAGGTGTGATTTGCATTTAGTAGGGGAGGATGTGATCCCATGTGGTGGGGCACCTATATATATATACCACTGCAGTGAAGTCAGTTCCCATGAACTGACTTTGCTATGACCTTTTGGTCTAATGGGTAACTGTGCGGAGCAGTGGCCGTCGGATCTCAATCTCAAGCTAGAAATGGATCTGAAAGCCAACTTTTGTCATTCCCCTTCGACGTCTCATAAATCAGATATACTCCTCAAGGATCAAGTTTATCAGGTTCATAGAGGTCCATCCAAAAAGAACCATCATGTGGCCTAAGTCTGCGATGAACATCCCCAGCCCTTTTCCAGCCAAAAAAGCCGGCCATTTCCCAATCTATGAGCCCCACAATCTTGTCATCATTAACGATAACGTTCGAATCAGTCAAGTCATTGTGCATGAAGCTCATGTCTGGATCGGTATTGTTATCCGAGAAAAGAATATCGCACTCGAGTGGTTGAATGCGACCATTGCTGCGAATGTTGGGGTCAGGCACTACGTAGGAGCGGAATTGGCATCTGTTGGTAGGCTTGATGGAATGCATTTGTCGTAGTATACCGCGTGCTTGATCTTTGAAAGACTCCATCTGGGCTTGCGAAAGATACGGCCATGCGACGGCTAACGAAACGCCGGGGAGTCTTTCCTGGATCAGAACCTGGCGGCCATTGATCTAAGGAAGTGTGAATAAACTAGGCGTGAATCAAGTGGCGACAACAAATACCTTTCCAGCAAAGTATATTTCGGGCACTTTAACCCCTTCCAAGGAGCTCTTCGCGATGGCAATCGCTTGGATTTCATTGGCATCGGCGTACGAGAAGTCAATATCCCCATGGGTGGTGCTCCGCTGCTTATGCAGATGGCTTGACTTGACGATGATGCTTCCAAGTGCAAAAACGTCGCGACCACCGTCATCGGCGGGATAAATTCTAGCGGTTTGGTCACAAAGGTCAATGACCGACGCCCAATAATTCAACGCTTCGTTGGACTGGGAATTGACATGCTGAAGGTTGATGCGGAAGTCATTTTGTTTGCAATGGTACCGTCCATAAAGCGGAATATCCGCATATGGGTCAGACGGTGGGATATCGTCTGGCTCTGTTGCATAGGGATTCATTGTTGAAGCAGATTGTGTAATCAACCTTGGTAAAAAAATAGAGAAGAGAGATATTAACAGGTTTTTTTCCGGTGAACTTTGGGTTACTCTTAAAAGATTGATGGATGCCGGCGATGGCCAGGATTTGCTTCAAGGGTCAGCTAGCTGCCAAGAGAAGGCGGTCAGCCATTGAATGGATGAGATGGATGAGATGGATGGTGACACTTGACTTCTGAGGCCCAAGCACGAGGGTACGGTTGGGTGCCCGGTTCAGGTAGGTTTATGTTTGATTTATTACTGGCCTATGACTAGTTACATAGCTGGCAGTAGCCTTAGGCAGATATACAAGAGTAACACCTATATAAAGGAGACCGTCTACATGACAATTCGGGCATTGCTCTCATTCTCTGAAATCTCAACTTTATCCCACTATCAACATGGCCAAGCGATGCTCTGTCTGCGACCAATGGATTAAAACAGGTGGTGGGGCCCACACCTGCCCGGGTGCACCTCCCAAACCTCCCTCCAATCCCAAGTCCAAGATGGACGATGAGCTTCTCGCTGTCTCGAACGGTCTTGAATCTAAAGGCACCTTGCTTGATTGTGCTGGTTTGGTCTAAAACCCAAAGCAAATTGTGAGTCACGGAGCCACTTCCATACTTGGTGCAATGCTTCTCAACGTTCCATATGCTAATAAGAATCAAGTATCGTTGGCAAAGAGCTTGGCTGCAAATTGAATACCAAGTCTTGTACCTTCTATAACAGCTTTTCTTTCTTTTTCTGTTGGTAAACATGCTCGCAGAGCGGAGAATCGATCCCGCGCTGAGGGTGGGGATGGATTTTACCTAATCGAAGCCAGAATCTACGTCAGCGATATAGTCATTCGAATCAAACTCGGTAGACTTGTGAGTCTAATTGAAGACAAGCACCATTGGACCTGTTCTTTTGCTGTAGTATATTACAGTGGAAGTTTATACCCCTAGGGGCAAAGCCCTATCCTTGCTTACTCTAGGAGGAAGTTACGACTGCCTGCGCAAATACTCCCCTCAAACAGGAAGGAACAACCAACGGTACAATCCTAAACGGGAAGGTACGAGTTCAGCAAGTGCCAATCGTGACAAGGATCTTACCATCTAAAACCTGCCGTAGTGCGCCCAGGCATATCCTTTACACTATCACATTTAGTATTAGAGGCGCATCCATGAGTTTACCTATTCATCCAGCAAAATATATCTAGACAAACACAATCACATACTTTCCAACTCCCCCTCTCCCATCAAAGACTACTTGACATGCCTTCCGAACTGCCTTGATATCCCTGAAGTCTGCCTTTGTTCCCACAATCGTCTTCAACTTTCCCGCTTCCACCCATTGCCGAATCGAATCCAGATCGATCGCATTTGGTTCCAGAAAGATAGATGAGTACGTTACTCCATAGCGAGATGCACGAGCCACTCGGATTCGATCCATCACGTTCAAGCCAATACGGATAGCGAATGGCACGGTTGCCTTGTCTTGCTTGTCTGGCGATCGTCGCATAACACTAGAGTTTTGGAGCACATCTCCCGAGGTGAGTATAGTCACTGTAACGATGGTTCCTTTAGGTCGTATAAGTGGCAGATACTCCATCGCACTTCCTGTGGTGTCGAAAATAAAATCGACGGATTGCGGAGGAATTACAGTCTTGGGATCCGACTTTTTATAGTCGATGACTGGTACAGTACATGTGAGCTCATCTTGCGGCTTGAGTCTGAAATGGAGTCTACTTACTTTCGTCCACAACTCCCTCGCCCAAGAGCTCCCGCACCTTGGGCACTTTGGCAGTGGAAACTGTGGTGATCACTTTGCCAGCTTTAAAGACATTCTTCGCTAGCTGACAGGCGAAAAGGCCCGTTCCACCCACTATGACAAGGTAAGCATCCAATAGTTAGTAGTAGAATTTGAGAAAAACCTACGCCCAGCAGGTATGAAAACGGTTTTTCCTTCGATATCGCCTTCATAACCACGAAGCGCCTGTAGTGACGTCATAGCCGCCAAGGGAATAGAGGCAGCGTCTTCCATTGAAAGACCCTGCGGTTTCAATGCGACAAATTCTTCAGTCGACCTTGCGAGCTGACTCCATGATCCTCGGTGACATTCAGGCAATCGAACAAAGACCTCGTCACCGGCCTTGAAGCGCGTCACCTGGGATCCGGTATTGACAACCGTGCCCGCACAGTCATACCCAATTTTGTACGGAAAACTTCACACATAAGTTAGATGGAGGATCAATCCGGGAACACAAGACTCTCACCTGTCCTTAAGGACCATTTTGGTTGCCCCAGAGGCTTTTTTGACATCTATCGGGTTGATACTCGCGGCATGGACTTTGATCAATATGTCGGTGGGGCGTTCCACGGCCAGGGCGGGAACTTCGCCCAGCTCATATTGATCGGGCGTAGTATGCTTTGGAATATTGATAGAAAGCATCTTGTCTACTGTAAGAGCAGCGGAAGCTACTCGATACCGAGCGAGACAGTCATTTTATTGTGAAGGTCGGGATTGATCTGTTCCATGGCCGAACTTCGATTTGACTCGGAGCTTCAATTCGCCCGACTGATGGAGAAGACGCCAAGAGCCCGTTGCCGTTTCCGGTTCAACGTCCGCTTTTTGCCGCGGCTACCCGGTTACTTGGCAAGAACCGCGTAGTCAGACCTTTTTCTTTTTCTTATTCATGTAGACCACAGCGAGGATTGATTAGAGACACCACCGCCTAATGTTGATAGGAGCCTCATATTTTTTACCAGATTGGTCCCCATATGTTGATAGCATCTGAATTAAACCGCGTATTAGCGAGTAATGAACACCCTTGTCGAAGGTTGCCCGGTCATTGGTAGGAAGGTATCTGACTTTTGATACTCGACGGCCATAGAAGCCATTTAAAAAACGTACCAGGAGGAGGTTCCAACCACCCTGCAACGGATTTCGACGATGGGCTAAGGAAGGCTCGACCACGGAATCAAACTGTGAAAGAGGGGAACCATGATGAATGGAAGCAACGAATGGGTTAGATAGAAAGGGAAATAATCAACAGCCATTTAACAAGGCCCAGGAATCGTTTCATCCGGTCGTAGACGTAGAAACTTGTTGCCACCATAGGAACCATTTTCACATAGCCAATGGTCATTCCAACGTAAAATCCCCTCAGTCCTCTCTCGAGGTAGATACGTTGGACTGTCTCTAAAATTCCAGACTGAGTACCAACAACACTTGCGACTTGTATTCGCCGTCGAAGAATATCGATTGGGTAGGAAATTGTTTGGGCAACTATCCCAGCGACTGCTCCGCAAAAAAGCTGGGCAACAGCAGTCAGTCGAGTTGATGATTTTGCTTCTAGAGTATAGGGTGCAAATGTAGATGAGAGAAGCAAGTCTCTTACTTGATCGTGGGCCAGGAATGACGTCCCGGCATACGGAAGTATGCCCAACATAATTGGGGCAATTCCTCAATAAAGATGTGACAACCTCCCGTTGCCTCGACCTTCAAAGTAAATTTTCCGAGAAATATCAAGCCAAGATGAAGGATTCGTATGCACTGTTTCGAAGGCAAGACGAGTACGCATCAACTCAAGAGGATATGTGACAAATGTGGATGTCGCACCGGCCATACTGCCGCATAAAAATCGACGGAACGGTGTTTCCTTCTCAGGGGTCATGATAACTGCCATTCGGAACTGTTCGTATGCAAGGAAGTTGATGCTGGCATAAGGAAAGACGCGGATCAAGCTTGCTGTGTGCCCTTTGAAAAGCGCAGATATACCATATTTCGTTTGAATGACTCTGGCAGCCTTAATCAAGCCCTTCCAGTGGGCCGAATACTGTACAAATTGAGAATGAGAGGTTTGGAAAAGTATCCTGACCCTGTCCAGTGGGCCACTACAGTTTTTGCCTGGATATCTCCCGTTAGTGATCCTTTGCTGGTATTAAAGGTAGTAAGGCTTACGGCACAACCCGCGATACCTCCGGCTAGGCCATTTCGTAAAATAATGTTCAATTTTCGGCTGTTCTCATTGACTTTCATTGTTTTCAAATCTTCCGGGACTGGTGCACTGACATGTGTGCCACTCATTTTTCTCTCGAGAACCAACTAGTGGCTTAGAATGACGCGAGAGGAGTAAATTCCTACCCATCGGCAGCATATGTTGTACACCATACAACAAACGCCGGATATTACACGGTGTTCGGTGGATATGTACCCCACCGGTGGGGTAATCCACTGATCGACCAGATGGTGCTCCATTCGGTGGGCAAGACGGAAAAGCCGAAGGCTAGTTTGATACATACCTCTGGATCTGCGCGATTCAAGGAGAGACCATAGCATTCGGCTTCTGCTTTCTATTATCTCTTATATCCGAGAGTCGATATGGATCTTTATTGGCATGCTGCTTATAGTAAAGGAATCAATTGCGCAGTGCTTCTCCTTTCCTCTTATTTCCTAACTCCAGAGCTTCGAAATATGTTGATGGGTGGTAAGTGGTCTTGTCTAGCTCGGAGTGAACGAAGTTCTATCCCACAATTCGTTCAGCACCTTATCCATCCAAAAAGAGGTTACAAAATCAAGATGGCGAACGCTGAAGTTGATTATAATGCTCTGGAGCAGCGCTCGCTTCACGAGAAGGGTTCATCGGAAGTCCAGAATACCGACCGAGGAAACCAATCGTCAGTCTCAAATGGCGATGAGGATGAGTGCCCTGTAGGCTTAAGATTGATATTTGTGGTGGTTGCTTTGATCTTGGCAATCTTCCTGACTTCATTGGATTTTGTGAGTGTCCGACGCTTGCAAGGAGCCCAGCAAGGTTAGTATTTGCTAACGAGAACCTTTATTATCCGCAGACAATTATTGCCACGGCGATTCCACGGATCACAGACGATTTTCATAGTCTTGGAGATGTGGCTTGGTATGGCTCGGCCTTCTTCTTGGTTACAGCTGGTTTTCAAACAGCTTGTAAGCTCCATCCATATAATTTTGCTGTACATCGCCCCGCTGATGGAAATGACTAGGGGTCAAGGCGTATGGCTTTTTCAGCCTGAAAATCACGTTCCTGCTAGCCATCTTCCTCTTCGAAGTTGGAAGTCTAATATGTGGTGTTGCACCTACATCGGTGGCACTAATAATTGGCCGCGCGATCGCTGGTCTGGGTGCCGCAGATGTGAACACTGGTTCGTTTACCCTGGCTGCGTTCTGCGCACCCCCGAAAAAAAGACCTATCTTCACTGGATTGATCGGTCTCTCGTATGGTGAGTTTTACAAATCTTTATGCAGACCATACGCGGGTGAGCTGACTAAAATTCATAGGAATTGCATCCGTCTTAGGGCCACTGCTTGGTGGTGCTTTTACGGAAAAGGCTTCATGGAGATGGTGTTTCTATATCAACCTGCCCGTGGGGGCTGTGTCCGCGCTCTTCATTGTCGTCTTTTTTTCGAAGCCCAGCTGCCTCCAAATGATAAATCCCACGATAATACTTCTTTGTGGTCTAAATTCCTTCAGATGGACCCCATCGGAACCTTTCTGATGCTGGCCTGTGTCACTTGTTATATCCTCGCGATGCAATATGGGGGTGAGAGTTATGCCTGGAACAGCTCGGTTGTTATAGGCTTGATTGTCGGATTCGTACTATTTCTAGCTGTTCTTTGTGGATGGGAGCTATACATGGGCGAGATGGCCATGTCTTGCCCTCGTTTAGTAAAACGGCATGTAGTGTCTTCGGCTGTCGGCTTCTTCTTTTTCGGCTCATACATTGTGGTCATCTACTACCTGCCTGTCTACTTTCAGAGTATTGATGGCGTGTCTGCTATCAGTTCAGGTGTTCATAACTTGCCTTTCATCATCTCGGTGTCCATTTTCACGGTTCTTAGTGGCGTCTTTATCTCCATGACTGGCTATCCCGCACCATTCATAATCTCAGCAGCTGTAGTCAACACGATCGGATGCGGTCTTATTTATACATTCAGCATTGGTACCAGCGCAGGTAAATGGATTGGATATCAAATTCTAGCCGGCGTTGGCAACGGATTTTGTGTCCAAGTCCCGATGATTATGGCGCAGGGAAACAGCGATGCATGTGATATGGCGGCCACAACTGCTATTCTGATGTGTAAGCTTGATCACTCCCGTCTGCATTTGACTCAGCATGCTCATCTGATCCTGATAATATATTTAGGTTTCCAAACTATTGGTGGTGCCTTTATGCAATCCGGTGCCCAAGCCGCGTTTGCAAATCGGCTACTCATCGAACTTCCTCACACTGCTCCGAATGTCGACCCTACGGCCGTAGTAGCTACGGGAGGTACAGAGTTACAATCCTTTGGCTCAAGCCTCCATGGAGTCCGTCTTGCTTACATGGACGGAATTAAAGTGACATTTGCATTCGCGTGTGCTTCAATGGGGGTGGCCTTCATTCTTGCTCTGTTTTCTCGGCGGGCAAGAATTGGGAGTGAACCAGCCAATAACGCCATGGTGCCTGCCGCCTAGATTGAAGAAGGCAGTATCATCAATCGCATGAGATTCTGGTGCTTAGAAATAATTTCCATCGGGCTCTATCATATGGTTGAAAGACGTTGCATATACCTATTACAAACTTGAGTGTCCAACTTCAGTCCATTTGTAGAGGGAGAGGAGAACAAGCGCATCAAAAGCGAAGATGAAGGGAAAATAGATCTATACTAGCTTAACAAAATTAACCCATCTTATTGGCCCTCCAAATAGCATGGGTGCCCCAAAGCATGATCCATTTCCCTTCAAAGTGTACAGTCATTTGAGTACTACCACTGACTGGTGCAAAGACGCGACAGGTCCGACGGGACGATTTTATACCTTGCACGATAGTATCCGAGTCTTTTCCTCTTATTCGACTACTCAGTGGGGTGTGAGACTGGAGGCCCATAATATCCTCAACCAGCAGACTGTGGAAGCGGATGTCGACCTTTTCCGCTAGGTATTCCATGGATTTGTCGAGAAGCCCGCAGTTCGAGTTTCTTATCCCGGCTCTTAAAAAGGGAGCAAATATTGTAATTTGTCATCAACCATGGTGTTATCCCCGACCCCGGAACTGTCCCCTGGATGGAATATCAAGCATCAGGTGCATGGATCTCTTGGGCCAAGCGGTTAACAATACTGGTGAGAGGTCCGTGGGTGACTGGACGGATTTCTTCAAAGCATTCTTGGTTCAAATTTCTGAACTCCTGCAAGCGCCAAAGAGCACAATGTGGGTTGTGAAAGCTGAGATCAGTCATGGCACCGGTACAACCTCAGATTGCTCAATGAGCATTCACTACCAAGGTGTTCCAAAGATTTGAATCTTATATATTACTACACCCGTTGCTGCGTATAGTATTTGGTCGCCGCATGCCGATCGCAATTTAATTTTCCCCTTCGTGCTATTCTCTTCCGGCTTGAAGGTTGTAAATTTCTCGAAGGAAAAATTATTTCAAGCTGGCAACTCTTCGAGCTATGTACATATATTAGTTGACATGCTGCAAATTGAATATAATCGACTCATTCTCTCAAACCATCCGCGTAATTCTTTAATACCTCGGCAATGATTCCGCACAGTTCGGATGCAGTACTGTTCTTGAAGACTACACACCAGGCATAAAGTAGTTGTATGGAACATGGTTTTGACACGAGCAGTGGATCTAGATCTATCTCTACCAGTGTTTCTTGAGTTGCTTTCAGAATTTCATTATCCTCTGAAGATAGGTCTGACCTGGCGCGAATAGACTGTCGCCGAATCCAGAAACTGTGAAAAAAACCTTCGGGGTATTAGTTATCGGTCATACGAATAATTAAGAGACAGTACAATTGCATGATAGAGAGCAAAGAAGGACTGAAAAGGAAATACCCACAGCATTCTAAAGAATAAATATTAAAAAGTAACTTGGAGTACCATCCTGAAATCGATGCTGACTGGGACATTCCCATCTTGACTGAGGTCTGTAAGGCTTCAATAGCACACCAAGCAGCTCTTGTACATGTGCTTGAGCCTGATATTCCAACTTTAACGTCGTTCAAGCTGGAAGAGACGGTTTGCACGTTTCGGGTCGCAAGAGCTGATCCGAGGGGCCTGAAGTTTCCACACAGTAGAACATGAGCTTGACGATACAGGGAAAGCGCATTCGCTAGAATCACCCCGCCGGGGTATCTTGGAGAGCAATGGAAGTCCGGGCTCTGCTCGGCGCACATACGCCACCTAGCCAGAGCTTGTTCAAGTCATTGCGTTAGTGCCTGGGTCTGATCTAAAAGCGAACAAATCCTGGTAGAGATTTGCCAGTGGTTAACGATGCCATGCGAAGTCAAATAAGACGCAAAAATGCTCAGTCGAAGCGAGGGTGCCCACTGAGAGGAGAAAAGATTGGCCATTGCGACTGAGAAGCGAATCGGCGGTTTGAAACTGGACTTTCTAGTCTCGGACCACGCCTATAGGGATATGCTCATCCGTTCAGATTCCTCGCATGGCAGAAAACAATCACTTATATCAATATTCCAAGAGCAGTTAACTGTTTGGAAGGTGACGCCTAGCGCACCCAGATAGACGTATATCGAGCAAATTGTTCTGCCAAGTGACGTTAGATATGTACAGATTGTCCAAAATAAGATGATTCCACATACCGCACAGTTGTCTCAAAGTCAATCCACTTCTGCCATCGTCGCAAAAGATCAACGTCTCCTCCGTCTGACTCTGGTGCGTAGGGGGGAAGCTTTCTGTATTGAATGCCCTGACAAGTCGGAACATTGATTAGTAGCTTTACTGGAGTAGATCCTCCGAGGAGTGACAGTGACAAAATACTGCATAAGGACACCCTCTAAACAAAGGATTTCTCTACTTGTCACACTTACCTCGATCAGAAGAGAGGCTAATGACGCTGCTTCTTGGAAGGTCCGGAAATCTCCACTCTTCGTACCGTTTGCCATAACTAGAAGAAGATACTGCAGTACCCATAGCTGTTCATCTGTGATAGTGAGCTGGCTCAGTTGAACTTCTTTTGAGTCAGGGAGCATGCTTCATAAATGGGTTTGCCTTGCGTACATATTTGATTGTATAGGCTTTAGACATGCGATGAAGCGAAGCAGCGGTTAGCTCATCGTCGTAGTAGCTGGTGCCGATGGATGCCATGGCAAAAATCATACATGGGGGAGCTAGGTCTGCCTTCCAGGTTGGCGTATGGATACATGGTATGTATATGAGGAAGCACTCGGCGAATGTGTTAAGTAATCTTTCTAATGTGAAGCGACTCGGAAATGTGAAACTGATGACAACTTCGGTCTGCAGGAATATTTAAGCACTGTGGGCTGGGAGATCCAGTACGGGCATCGGTCTGCGGCTTACCGATGTAGGTGTATGGAATGCGGAAGCTAATTCACGCCACCTGTGCTCCGAGATGGCAAAAGAGCCTTTCCATGCTGGTGAATCTATTACCTGCGGTCGTGATTTCGTGGCAGCATGATGCTTTGGGGGAGAAGCAAAGCTATTCAATGCCAAGTCGGATTGCGAGTTTTCTTGCGCTCTCTCGGTCGGGTTTTTATACATATCAGACTCGAAAGATAGCGGAAAGTCGAGAGCTGAGATCCAAGAGTCTATGGTCGGGCTATTGATTTCCGACATGTTAGTTGGGTCGAAGGCGGGAAGCCACCCTGTAGCTGTTGAGGGCTCAACTGCATTTTGTGCCGTCACCGATAAGATCGTGGGACTGGATGTCTGCATGAATATTGATTGCATGGACTTCGACGGATCATTATTGACTTCCTGACTATGTTTTTGGGTTCCCATGTGGTTCCGTGAATGGTGCCTTTTCAAGACATCTTGCCGAATGAAGCTTGCATTGCAAGGGGTACATCTGAACGGGCGCTCATTGCGATCTGGAAAACATTTGGTTAATATCTCGGGCACCGAACGGTTTGACGGACCTAGGAGAGCGCTCGTATCTGCAAAGGTGTTCCCGCCGAGCGAATGTACAACCACAGTAGGAGCATTGTTTTCCACGGCGCGTAACGTCAGGTCCCGTAGTATCACTCATTCTCGTTTATTGACATGAAATTAGAATTGCCCCTAACATCTCTCATTCCCAGATTTCCGTCTTCCTAGTCTTCAAAATCATGACACTTGAAAGGATAAAATACCTCACTATTGGGTGACAGGAATGACTTCTGTACTGACAGGGGCGAAAATGCCAAAAGTACGTCTCGTCCTCATAGAAAGAAGGATGGCCCCGCTTGGTTTTCTCCCTTCGCGGATGTGTAAGCGGCGTAAGCCAATAAGATCGGACAGATTAAATTAATGCCTAAGGTATAAGGCACTGAGGTCACATGCTATCTTTATTCCTACCGCTTCTAGCTTCCTGCATTCCCGTTGGTCACTTTCTGCCTGATATTATCATTGGTCTATCTCCTCACCGCTCACGGGTAATTCTGCCAGTCCCATCAAAATTCTTGGACCAACATAGAGTGGTGGAAGCTTGTACTTGAACAAAAGTTTTAAGAATGTGCACGTATACAATCTACACTGAAAATAGGAGTGATCAACCAAGGTAGGCACTGTGTAAGATAGATGATGATCTAGCTACTAAATGGCTTCATGTGGACGAAGACACAAATATCGTCTCGTTTGCAAATCAGGAGCAGCATGTTCTACAAGATAAGCAAAGAGAGATATGCCAACAGTATGCCTGTAAGACGGATAAGGGAAAAATAAGTTGTAAATAAGAGAGGCAGCGGGTGAAGAAACGAAAGAAGTCTGTCTGCCAAACTGCGTGGGAAATAGCGAACGCCCAAATGCATCATGGGTCATTCATAATGAACATAGATTCTATAATACATCATCAGGCTGATACCAGATATTCAAGCCGGCATTATCAAGATCCCGCTAATCTAGCAGGTGGTGATGTAAAGACCGAGACTAGAAAGGTTGTTAACTGATATCCAAGGAGAAATATAGGGAAAGGGAACATACGGAGAGGGGTTGTAGTCTTCGAAGAAGTTAAGGTCGGTGCTTCCAGAGTTCTTCATCTCGAAAGCGACAGTCTGGCCGCCAGGACAAGAGAAGGTAGAGATGACGTATGAGTTACCGGGGGAAACGGTTATGTCGCCGAGGTCCTGGGACACAGAAGGCAGGTTGTTAAAGGTAGTAGACTCGTCGACAGCGGAAGAGAGCTTAGCGAAGTCGATCTTCCCGTCACCGCTAAAGCTATAAGACGAAGTCTCGAGGTCCTGGAGCTCGGGGAAAAGGAATACCAGGCTGCAAGTTTTACCGGAGTCGGACGAGGGAATGTCGAAGTTGAACGCGCTCGAGATGGTGGAGCTCACGGTACCATTGTAGGAAGTACCAGGCGCAGTGTCAGGCGAGGAGGAGTCAACAGGGACAATCAGGTGGGGGTATTCGTAGCTGCCGGTGGTAAGAGTAGTGGGGCAAGAGCTGCTAGAGGATCCAGTCGCTGTAGTAGAAGATGCAGAACTGGTGGGGACAGATCCACTGTTAGAATCGCTGGGCTGTGAGCCACCACCAGCACTAGATGGAGAAGGAACAGAGCCCGTGGGAGCAGGGGCGGTAGAGCCAGAGCCAGAGCCTGGGGTGGATGAGACAGAAGAGAAGGTTGACGGAGCGCTGGAAGATCCGACAGAAGAGGGAACAGCGCTAGCAGATGACGACGAGCTGCCAGAACCAGAGCCCGAGTTTGAACAGGAGTCGGCAGTCAACTCCACGTTCACACAACCGGTGACATCGGACTTGTTGGGGGTAGTGTAGACGTTCAGACCACCGTTCTGGCCTGTGGCACAGGCAACAAAGTCCTTGCTACCGTTGTACTGGAGCTCACCCTGGGAGCTAAGAGAGAAGCCAGGAGTGGGGGAAGCACCCTCGTCACACTGGAACTGAGTAGTAGGGGCTATTCACTAGTCAGACATGCTTTAGGTGATATAAGTTGAGATAGTCACTTACGGGTGAGAATGCAGCCACGGCCGTTTGAGTCAGTGATAGCACCTGTAGAATCGATGCAGTATTGAGCGGGCGACAGGCTGCTGTCTCCAATGCGGTTCTGGCCATCACTTAGCTGGCCAAGTTCGCCGGAGGCACCACCGGAAGAGGTGAGGTGAAAGCAGCAGCTGTCACTACGGCTAACGAGGGCGTTGGTGCTGGCAGCAAAGGCAGCGATGGTGATGAAGTTCTTCATCATGATTGCTCTTCAGCGAATGTGGAAGGGTTGGTGATAACGAATGAACACGGTGAATGTCCTTGAGAGAATTAATTCAAAAATCTTCGAATCTGATATCGACCGCGAGAGTTACAGCAGAGATCAATCTAGAAGACTCAGTTCGTGGAAGGCGCATCTTTATAGTATGCGGTGGATTAGAGATCTAGAATTATGAATCAAGGAAATACATGCTCTAGCAGGCGGCGAAACTCCCCGAGGCAAAAACAAACAAAAAATAGAAACGGCGTGCTGTCAGGCAACCTGGCACCATGTGAGTGAGACCCGGTGGACCGATGCTCTGGGATCGAGCATTGCAGGTCCGAACCAGCCGGAGCGAGATGTGGTAGTGACATAGTAGGCGCTGTCTTAACCAGATATCCATTTCATTAAATTGTGGAGTAAAGGACCATGCTTGATAGTCCACTTACAACCCAAGCTTGGACATGGACAACGTCCAGTGACACAGGCTGTGGACCCTTTCTCAAGGTCCATTTGAACCTGCTATCCACGGTGCAGTTGAAGGTGGCAAAACACCTTTTCCATGGATCGTTCGTGGTTGCATTCTCCGAAAGGCTCAGATTGTTCTACCTCCGGATGGAACGGATGAAGTTATATATCTTCGGTAAGAGACTGCGGGACTTTGTACAATTGATCGAATGCAATTATTACCAGGTGGGCGGCAGTACATGGCGAGAACCGGGTACTTCGATACTGTCCTCTAGCTTTGGACAAAAATAGCTAAGCATAAACTCGGGTATGCTTGCTATACTGCCCACTTCCAGCCAACAGAAAGGAAATCGCTACATAAAGGGCTAAAAGGACTAGACCATGTCAGTGACAATGGCCGATTCCCCGAAAAGTCCCTGTCTCTGGATAAAATTAGAATAAGATATTGAGAGTTGCTACAGTGGACTGGTGGAACTGGGACTTATGCATCATATGTAATTGGACATGGACAAGTGTATGACCTCAAGACGAAATTCAACAACAAAGAAGAAGAAACAAGACTGGATGCGAAGCGGTTTTTACCAAGTGGAGCCCGTCTTAACCAACAATAGTCGCGGCTCTCTTTGTTCCTTGTCCGTTCCTTGTTCACCTTGTTCGCCACCACCAATCATAGTTAGTTTCTACCTTGTGGGAGTTACAAAGTACATTGTTTGGCTTTTGTTGTTCGCTTTGTTTTGTGTACGTAATAGTTCATGCCCCACGATGTGTGTCTTTTTTTAGATCTAGTCCTTAGACTGACGATCAAACATCGCTCTCGATCGATCACAAACATCCCCACTAGATTGTTTTAGACCAAATGATATCAATTAGAATTCGGACAAATTATTTGATATGCATATTGGGTGGTTAGCAAACCCTTCCCAATGCTCTCATAAAACCCTTATTATATTGCTTAGTGTTCAAATATGGATTCCCTGGCTGTTGGTCATTCTAACTTGAGCCATGTCGATCGCACTATGGCGATCGTACTATGGACGCGACGAGTTGAGTCAATTGGGGAGTGGGGCTCCATATAATGACATACATCTTTACATAAAATTGACACGTCGTGCGTCATACGATGGTGATGTCAATTTCAAACTCCATACCCCGTATGTTGTACTCTGTACATCTAGGTATACCCACATCCACCCCTTTCGACTCCACAAAGACAATCCGATCGCACTATACCGTCAAAGACAACTACTTCTTTCCAACCGCAGCTGTGATCAAGGCAGGAGAAGCTTCAACGCACTATAATGATGCTATTGACTGATGGAAGATGTTGCCAAAGATTTCTCATACATCCCAGCCATATCACAACTTCTGCTTTCTATGGATATTCATACCTCCGTGGACATGCTCACACAGGTCCTTTTTGACATCGCTGCCCAGCCCGGCCTGGTCAGAGCTCTGCGGGAGGAGATAATAACTGTGACTCGGGACAGTTAAATCAAGGAAATTCAACGACTGAAGGCTGTCACAATTAGGAAGACCCATCATACATTTCCGTTTTTTCAAATATTGACTGATCCTAGCCCCAATGCCCCCGTCTTACCACTACCGACGTTGAGTTATCAGACGCAGTTTCTATCCCCAAAGACTCCACCATCTTGATCTCCGCGGATAAGCATGTGGGACGAATGTAATTATGAAACCCGGAGAAGTTCGATGATTATCGTTTTCTCAAGATGCGTGATGTTCCCGGCCAACAGACTGTTGCTAAAATTGTTGCACCTTCTCCGATTCACTTGGGCTGGGGCTTTGGGTAGCATGCCTGTCCTGGAAGATTATTTGCAGCCAACGAGACACGCAACTATGTGACCGGACGATTATGGGCAGCGGGTGGAATAGTACAGGCTTTGGAAACAATTTATGGTGTTTATCTTGGCCTTTACATTACTCAGGAGCCTGTCGCTGAAACTCTTTGGGGTGCGATCCTGCATAAGATCGATTCCAAGGGCTTCTTCAAGATGAGCACTAGTGCCGGCGCACATATTCTCCAGATCACACAAGATGAATAACCGATTGACTTGGGTAATGGTGCTATTATGCATGTTTCATGAAAGAGGTTACGGGAATGGGCGCCGTAGATGTAGAAAGATGGGGCTGCTATGAACATGTTATGCCTAGCTTCTCAAGGGTCAACCATTCTAATTCACCTATGAGAAAAATGTCAAGGAAAGTAGAGAATGTCCAGAGTCACGAATCTATATTTAATTACATTTTATTCCGTGTTTGAAACATATTGATAGCTGGTTTTCTAACTGCAACTATTATAATCCAATGTCAATCAGACAGCCGAGAAAATTCGAAATAAATTTACCGCTCTTTCTGTCACTCTTCATTGTTGATGGGTACATCCAAGCAAGGCATAGCTGTTCAAGAATGTACGAGTTGACTCCGTCGATATCAAAACATCCCGATCGAGGAATGCCGAACATGGTCTACCCACATTATTGGAGGAACAATAATAATAGCCGGTGAATTTGCCGAGCATTTGCAACTTCTTGGCTTATTGGCGCTTGTATTGTAGCAGCATATAGCTAATCAAGATATCCCTCGTTCGTGTTTTTATTTTCCAATGTCCGATCATTGTCGACAATATGCACTTATATAATACCTTGCTCAGCGGCCTAGCTATCCTTCCGGTGGCTCTAGCTTCCTGGCCTTTCTTCTACCGCACCGAAGAGATATCGACAACCTTCTATCACAATGACCAGCCCAATGTGAAAGTCGAGACCATCTTTCAATTTCCCAACAATGGCTCATGGATTGATAATATGGTTGTCCGATCAGACGGCAATCTTCTGTTGACGCGTCTGGACACCCCCGAAGTTTGGAATTTCGACACCACAACCGGAAACGCGACCCTCGCCTACTCGTTCCCCAATGTCACCAGCTGCTTCGGAATCAGTGAAATTGAGGACGATGTCTTCGCAGTTGTTGTGGGCAATTTCTCTCCCAAGACCTTCCAACCAGGCCCAGGCTCGTTCTCGGTTCATAAATTGGATTTTACCAAGATCAATGGTGAGGATAACGAGCGCGCACCGAAATTGCCAATGGCCTCGGAAATCATCGCGATGCCAGAGGCTGAGGCCCTAAATGGCATGGCCACTTTCTCACAGGGGTCAAATTTGGTTCTCATTGCCGACAGCCCCAAGGGAGTAATATGGAAGGTCGATACCAAGACAGGAGACTATTCTGTCGCACTGAATGATACCACAATGGCACCGGCGGAGGGTCAGGCTCTTCCTCTGGGTGTCAATGCTCTGACAATACTTGGTGACTATGTGTACTATACCGGTACAACACGAATGGTATATTGCAGAGTCAAGGTAGACAAAGATGTCAAACCCATCGGAGATTTTGAGGTCATTGCTAGTGGATTCCTTCCAGATAACGTTGAGATGACCGAGGATGGCATTGCGTATATTCCGACAGCTCCGCAGAACTCTGTTGTGCGTCTCACGCCTTCGGGGCAGATCACCCTCGTCACGGGTGGGCAAGTATCTACGCAACTAGCAGGTCCAAGCTCAGCTCGATTGAGCAAAGACCGACAAGTACTCTATGTTGGCACCAATGGTGGCCAAATTGCGCCGGTTTTGGGCTCATTCATCGAGCCCGCAAAGATTGTCAAGATCTCATTCGAAAAATAGGGAAAGCCTGATGCATCTAGGGACGCTTGGAATAACCATTGTGGACATTCGAAGTTGACGAACGAAAATTGATGGGAATATTGGGTTTCTCGGCCAGCTTGTTGTATAATTCGATTTATGAAGCATTCTATTCTTGAACACACGTGTCTCTCTCCGTCATCGTTCACATTCCAGATTGTGTGAGCAAAGTAATGAGTGCCTGCGAAGGTATCAGCTTTGTCTCTGCCATATGGTCGAAAGTGAGATAGTATCCTCACTCAATTGTATCAACCCAATGTTGTGGATCTTCGCACGACTTAACTCACGATCTCGAGCAAGCGATGTAAAGCCGGCCTGTATGTAACGGCATAATCTCCACCGTATATCCTGTAATGAGAGCGACTCCTGTGATCAGCTATGCCCCGAAGTTGGGCTACTTTGACCCAGCTGAGCTCGTGAGTGACTTTGGTCTAGTTCATTGGGAACTGATCAGGAGTATAGACGAAGATTGCGAAGTTGTTTCCCAAGCCAAAACCTATAATCGTGATACATGCCTTTCATACCAGGGAGCTGATTTCGTCCATGTGGAGTTGGCCAAATCGAATGGCCTTGATAGGCATATGGTCAACTTGGAGAGTGACGGTGGAAGGTGGCAAACTGCGCCAAACCGATGGTTAGTTATGGTGGTGTGCAACGCAATGTAGCAGTGGACGAAGAAGCTCACGATAGTAAGAACCGTGTTGACCTGACTCTGGTGATGTGCTTGTACCTCAAACGACTGAAATTCCACCACGCTCTCTCGGTCTGAGGTTCCGGACAGTGGACACCTGAGGTAGCCAGGAAATTATTAGCTAAGCA